CACTTTACGCTGGTCTTCTGTGAGGTCGTGGTACTTACCCGGACGGGGCTGCCCATTCGTGCAACAGCCGAGGCTGCTGCGTGGCCCTACCACCGAAAAAGTGGAAGTGTTATACGTCTGCGTACCTTCTGGTGCACACTTTATAATAAGGTGGCAACGCATCTGCATACCTACGGGTGTTGCCAACGTCAATAGGCGGCGGTTATCACTTAAGATAATAGGAACTGCCAGCTCGCTAGCGACCTTTTCACTTAAAATAAAGGTTACCTGACGCTGTAGCCACTGAGCTAAACGGCTGATAGCCACAGCGACGAAAATCTAAACGCCTTCTTTCTACATTGTTATTTAGCATTTGAAGCAATGCTTGGCGCATCTATTGTTATATCCTTTCCAGCATGCAAACAATTTTGAATATCGTATACATGTTTTAATGTTCAATCTTAAGTGCAGAGATAAGCACTATAAAAATAAAATAAAAAACTAAAATTTATAAAAAGCAATGGCGACATCTCTCGTTCGAATTATCGTTGTAAAACGATATTCGAAATTGTTTGTATGCTGGAAAGGATATAATAATAGATGCGCCAAGCATTGCTTAAAATGCTAAATAACAATGTAGAAAGAAGGCGTTTAGATTTTCGTCGCTGTGGCTATCAGCCGTTTAGCTCAGTGGCTAGAGCGTCAGGCCGCGAATGCCGAAGACGTGGGTTCGAATCCCACAGCGGCGACAACCTTTTCGTACTTTTTCTACCTGTTTTAATGTTCCATCTTAAGTGCAGAGATTAGCACTATAAAAAAAAAACTAAAATTTATAAAGGTATGTACGAGCGTCTCCTAAGAGTACGCTTTCAACTAATAATTGTTTTCAACTTAAATTGTTAGCAATTTCCTTTAGTTCGGCTTTCATTTGCTTAATCTCCTTCGCTCAATATCCGTTTAACTTAATCCCGGCCTAATCCTTACTCGCATCACTTAACAGGTGACTCAAATCCCAACAATAAAACATTGACTCATGCCTTAGTCAGAATCGATAGTGATTAAGGCTTTTCTAATAGAAAAATCTGAAGTAAACCATCGATCATATGGTAAAGAGGAAATGACATTATCATGTAATATGATAAACAAATACGGTTCTGTGTTTGTTTATCGAATTGGATTATCTAATGACGTAAAATGTGCATTTTGCGAACCGATTGGTATAGTGGATATAGAACCTGTTTCTTTCGCCAGAGGGTGTGGGTTCGAATCTCCCTATTGGAAAAATATTGTGTTGATGAACATAGTGTTTTTAATGATTACGTATTCATGTGTCTATGATATGTTTACTATTATTTACAATTGAAAGTGTGTGTAGCTTGTGACATAGTAACTATGTCACAAGCTTTGTTTAGATTGGGGCTAACGTTATTTAGAAACATGTACATATACAGAGGTACTAGAAACCATAGTTTGCACCAAATTTACAAGGACTTGGGAACCTACCGCTGTTCATAACAACTAGTTTGCGACAGCTACAACTCGTCGGCGACTTCCAACTTTTATATCGGCCTTTAGCGCCATCATCATCATCATCATAGCCATCATTTCAGCCTGTTAGATTCCATTGCTGAACTTAGGCCGAAGACCGCCATGAAGTAGGATCCTGAGCCAATTGCATCCATCAACTTCTCGCACATTTGCACAGGTCATCACTCCATCTAGTGGGAGGGTTGTTCTACTCTGCGATGTCAAGTACGAGACTGCCTCTTTAGAACCTTTCTTCCCCAACGGTTATCGGTTTTAGGAGCTATATGACCGGCCCATCATCACCACTTCAGCGTACTAACCTTCTGAGCTACGCGCCTTACCTAAAATAAATACCTCTTTGAATTTCTGCATTCCAATAATGGAAACTACCTTTATTAAAATAGAAATTTTACCTTCAATAGTAACATGTTTGACTATCATGTTGAAATGATTTTAGAACCAAAGCATCCAGAGAATATCACAAGTTATAGGTCAATATTTACCAAAGCCCTTGGCGATAAGAACTTAAAAAACTTCCTTTATCACGCACACCAACGTAGGGGACATAACTCGCACGAAATATTTTTTTTTACTTTACCTTTACAAGTAAATTGGCAAAACCTTGTATTGTAATGTTAATTATATAGCAGCTGACTTCAGACTTTTGACTTTAAGCAATTAGATCGTTTGACAAATAATTATTAATTTATTTGCGGCAGCAACAGGTCATAAAGTTTATGATGTCAGCATAGGACGAAGATAACCTCTGCATTATTTTTTTATTATACTTATCAGATCTCGTCTCTATTCTCTGATTTGCTTTACTCTTAAAAGCTATGCAGAGAGAAACTATTCAAAAGCTCGTGGGGTATACTAACGTATTTGATGCCACGATGGTAACGCATACAGTAATACACACTGTATTAACAATGGCTCCCGTTAGATTTTGAATCAATAACTTACGTGAGAAGACTCTTGGTCACCAATGTCAAAAATGCACTCTTTTTCCTTACAGGTTATAACCGATTCAATACGGGGTGCGCTTTTACAAAACAAATGAATTATTCCAACTTTATATCTTTTTGATAGAATAAGTTTACGTTTTATTATCGGAATATTACACTCGGGACGGTTATTAGTAATTAATATTACACCATGACTTGGCACAGCAACAAGCTCCAATGACCAATAAATTAAAATCGTCTTAAACACAAACTTCATTGTATCTTTATTTATTGTCTTCTTTACAATTTTCTCTCCTTTGTATAATATGAAATTTATCAGCTTATTTAAATAGCGTCATATGCCCGATCGAACTTTACACCTTACAATGTTCGCTGCAACAAACATGTCCACTGCGTTGTGTTATTAGATATAACGTGTTGAATGACGCCCAAGATAACGTCAGCTCCAAATATTTTCCTTAATTTTTAAACCCATTCGTGTTCCCTTCAGTTACAAATGAAACAGCGCCCTCGGAGTTGTACAGAATACTTTATTACGAACACAACAGAATATTTCACTGTGACCTTCGTCATGTTGATCCTTTTCGTCTCATGTTCATAATACTATGTTATTCAATTCCAAGCGCTGTGTAAATTAATAAATAAATAGCGACGCCCTCGCGTCTTAACACAGATGACATGGGTGGAAGTAATAAATAAATAACACTAAGCTAATTCGTAAATTTTTCACAGATAATAGAGGCTCATTAGTGAAATTGGCGCGAATTAGATTGAGTTTTGAACTCACTTTAGATATTGACATTATCTCGCAGCACAATGTTTTGGCTCGCAAATGTAATTGTATAATATAAGATGTTTTTAGTTAATAGTTTCACTATAAAAGTACTGCCATATTACTCTAAAAGAATATTATTTATCACAGATAACCATTGTTCTCACCAAAATATACTTTTATTTCCGAACAGGATTACATTCTCAAAGGCAGATTTATTATATTGAAAGACAACAAAGGGTCAATCAATCAGCAGATCACTTACAATAAAGAGTCTCAGATAATTTAGAAAACCGAAACACCCTAATATTTTTGGATCTGTTTGGGAACAGATTAATCACGTCCGATAAACCGAACATAAATTCGAATGTTTGCTGTTACTGAAAGCGTACTATTATAACAGTATTTTTATCACCTATATATCACTTACGTCTTTTCAGACCACGCTTCTATGGAAAACTTCCTTACTACAGTGTGAAGGCAGACGCAGTGACGTTATGATTTTATTTATATTAAGAAAAATCAATACGGATTTATAAATTTGTCTTAGCCACGATTCTTTATTACTCCGCTCGTGGTTGGTCCAATTATATTTTATTATTTAGAATTGTTAGAAAGTATCAGAGTCACGTTTAACTTTAACTTAATTGAACTGGATTTCACTTCCCACCACGGCATCTGCCCTAAGTCAAAATTTACCGGAGAAACTCTCCATAATAATGTGTTATTTGTGCTGGAATTTCCGTCGGAACAGTGAACGATCCTGTAAGGTAATCTCCTTAACACTTACAAGTTTTCCTCTCAAGGGCCTTGAATGGGTTTCCTTACAAACGTACGCAGAAACGTGAATCAGTTCGATTGTGATCCTTAATGGATTCTCACTCCGCTGGTTTACTTAGGCAGCCATGAGACCCAACTCTTTTACAAGTACCATTAAGGTGTGATCGATTTACTTATATAATTACACATATTGCGTATTAAAGTCGACTTAAATTGAATAATCAATCACATACACTTAATCACCATATTCCGTCTCTCGGTACGGAGGTGCACAATTATTTACTACTCAACAAAATTGCCATATCAAAGACTCGCCTCGTTTTTTCCTAACTCAGCGTCACTTTGCGTTATCGGTGACGTAGCCGGTGATTAAAGGACGTATGTAACGACTAGTTATGGTAAACACTGATAATCTCATTCCGGAGCCACGGCTCAAGTGCACGCCCGTTTGTTTCTACAATCTGTGGCATTCGGTTTTATTTTTCCTTTTAAAAAAAATGAAATCACTTCGAACTGGCCAGCTCCGTCGGCTTCCCGCGTTCGTTCATATTTTAATCTGTGTCGTTTAGTTATATTTACGCGCGCTTAGTGCGGTGTCATATTAGGTGTCGTATTAGGAAACGTTTGTAGTGATGCTACACATTCGGTGATAATCGCTACACATTCGGTGTTTACATCGTCGCGGCCCTTGTACCGTTAACGGAACTATAATCTGTATTGGAAACGGAATTGGGTTTTTAACGTTCGCCCGTGGCAATTTATATTCTAGTAGCGCTGTAACGTCGTGTGCAACTGGACTCGTGCGCCGGTGGGAGTGAGGCGACCCGTTGAAAAGTCGATGATACATCGGTAAAATGCTGTTAATGAGTTGCGTTCGTTGTTTGTACGAAAGTGCTATGAATCAGTGGCCCTAAAGATGTGCATCGTGTTCGGGCCAATCGTTCTCTTGTGTGCGGTGTACGTTGAAAGTGAGAGCAATGAGTGTCCCTAATTTGAGCGCCGACCAGATAACAGGTACTTAAACTTTTTTTTCGTCTACTTTTAAAGCTTCTTTTATCGTCCACCCAATTATCGATAGTATCACGGTGCGCACCGAAAACAACTCTGTTTTAACACGTAGCCGTTCTTTTTTCAAATACACCAAGGGTCGATTGGTAGCTATTGTTTATTTTTTTACATATATTCAATTGTAGATTTATAAATTTCTTACTCTCGCTTCCATTTCCAGCTAAGCACATTATCAACTCCCTTATTATCACCTAGAATTATCCAGAAAGTAATTTTGTTTCAATAGACGTAGTTCTTGTACTATCTACTATGTCAATTATTACTATCATCTTACTTAAATATTACAATGAGATAACAACCGAAAACGGATCTGTTTTAAGACAAGAAAGGATAAGCAAGTTTTAGTCAGGAAATGTTTTCTATTTTATTACTCGATATTATGTCTCTGTTATTTATTTATTTTCTTAAACACGTTATCCCACATTAAGGATTCTCCTGTGCCTTGAATGCGTTTAGAGATATAAATTTCATATAAACAAACACCCAGCCCCGAAACAGTCGAATGTAGGTCATACAAAGCCCTGTTACGTGCTAGAATCGAACCCGGGACACGTTGCTCAGCATATCGGCCACTGCGTTCAACGTACCGAAAAATTCTATAGGCATTGTAACTCAAACAAATTTATGATAAAGATTGTAACTGTTGCTTACAAGTAAAAATCGATTTCTGAAATATCATAATAACACGGAAGATTAAGATCAATTATTTTTAAACGAAAATTGTTTACACAAATATCTAAATTTTACGGTAAATATTTGCACTTACCTAAACACAACACTCATCAGAAACAGCCAATACAATGAGCGGAAATAAGAGTAAACAGAAATGATAGTAAACCATCATTAGTCCTTAACAAATTAAAAGCTTTCGATAGCAATTACAATATTTTGAAAGCCCCTTTAATGTTTGTTTATTGTATACATTTAAAAATTACATTGTAAATAAGTAATTAAAATGTTGTTTCGATTTAGGTACAAAATAAATAATAGAGTTATCGAACGATTATCTATAAATAGGTAATCGTAAAAGATAAATAAAATAAAATAAAGATAAATTTATCTAGAGAAATAAAAATAAATTTTTATAATCTTATATTTATTAATTTTATTTTTGTCCGTTTGTTTTATATGGCTTTCGTGGTTAATATCATTTCATTATGAGTATTGTTGAAATGGTTTTGAGTAGGTAATAGAGTAATTTGGATTTTTCTAAAGTTGAAATCTCATAAGACTCGATAACTTAAACCTATACACAATTCATTTATATGAAAAAATGTTGAGCGATCAATTGGTTCACCTGATGTTAAAGTTATGAGGCACTGGTGTTTTTTATTAATACCATTCTGATATGGGTTTTATTATTTACTTTTATTGAGGTTTCGCACAGACCAAGACACGGGAATGAGCTAGTAAAGTTATGAACGTAAGCTTCAACTTTAGTTACCATAGCAAGTTTTTTGCTAAGTCGCCCTAATTTTCGCATGATTTATTTTTCCGTCCCGTATAGTTGAAGCCGTTTATTATTAAAAATAACTTGTTCCTACTTACTATTCAACCTCGTCGAGAATTTATTTACTTACCACAAATGTGATTAATTCTGTAACTCGTGTAATTGGCCTAGTGTAGTGAGTAAATATAGTCTTGAGCATAGTGTTTTCCGGTGTTTGGGAATTTATATATATAAATAATATTTTTTTTAAAGAAAATTATGTTTATCTGTTACCTAGTACCCTTAGGACAAGCATTTCTTATTTTGGAACTAAAAAACGTTATGTAAAGGTGTGTTTTGAATTATTAATTATTTATCTTCATCGCAGCAACGTGTTCTGAACAATATATGTTCATCTATTTGTAGTAATACCAATCTTTAAATCAAATGAGACATAGTTACAACTGCCTTAGTTTGTACTGGCTTTCTTTGATATTGAGAAACACAAAGAAAATATTTCTAGCTGTCACAATACTAATTAGGGACGCACGTCAACGCGTTAATTGGTACTTGTTATTGACGGGACAATTGGTATCGAACGCAGACGTGCCTAGTGAGAATAGCGCGAAAACAATTTTCATTTTACTCTTCGAATATTGCTATTTGTGAGCACTTATCACAATATGCAGGCTCGAGACTCTCAGCCACGATAGCTCTATGTCCGGGCGTTCGCCTTTAATGCAATTTACTCGAGCTACCTGAGTTCGATCCCCGGTGCCTGCACCAATGAATTTTTTTATTTTTTTTATGTGAAGAGTTGCCAAGCGAGCAGACGGTTCACCTGATGTTACGTGAATACCTACGCCCATGGACATCTGCTGCACCCGAGGGTTGCATATGCGTAGAAAACCTTTTGAAATTTGGGCTCCGGCCACCTCACTCGCCAGACGAAACGCGAAAGTATTATACTTCCACTTTACACCGGTCTTCTGTGAGGTCGTGGTACTTACCCGGACGAGCCTGCCCATTCGTGCAACAGCCAAGGCTGCTGCGTGGCCCTACCACTTTTGCATGCTGAGTTATCATGTGCTCAGCGGTGAACATCGCGAGGAAACCTGAATATTTATTTCGAATATGTGTATCCGCCAACACGCAGGAAGTTCTCGTGGTGACCGACGACCATGCCCTGATACCCTCTGTACACAGAAGGCATTTGCCCAGCTGTGGGACATTTATAGGCTGTTACTTTATCTCACCTTCCACCCCCATACAAACATTTTATTTTATTTTATTAGGAAAACTTACAACATTATGAATATCTAATGTACTTATTTTAAAAGAATATTATAACGTATACAGGGAGATTTTTTGACAATTGCCCAAATTTACACAGCAGGTTCAGACTCGTTAGTATAATCGTTTATTGAAATAAAAAACAAAGTTTTTTTTTCCAAAAAAAAAATGCCATTCTTTTCCCTAAAAAACAGGACGTGTTGACAATGCGGTAGTCATTCATAAATACCTAAATTTTACAGTGATAGTTATGAATGATCGCGCGTAAAATAAATGAGTTGTGTATAAATCACGCACTTTTTGAGATAAGTTCAATTGAATGTAATTAATTACTTACTAGTGATTTTAAATATTTATCATTTTTTATACAACATTATTTATGTCTAGAATTTAATAAAAATATGGATACATTTAGAAGAGCCACCCTGTATAAAGAGCCAATAACTAGTTTGCGTAATGGGGCAAAACATGCCTCAAAACACCTAAAGCCACGAGTTATATTAAATTTTTCATTTCCAGATGTTTATTGTTAATAATAATTGTACTTTAACTCTCGACTTCCCATGTTTATTCTTTTTTAGTGCAAAAACTACCTGAAATATCCGTGTACGCCACTGACTGTATTTGTATAAAAGTAAATGTAAAAAGTTTGTTCATTTCAATTTTTTAACAAATCACATGGAGTATAGGCAGATTTCACGGGGGTATTTTCTACCAGGCAGCCTTTTTTAAAGGTTTATGTGGGGTTCATAACGACTGAAGCCCCCTCAGTGGTCACATTCTGTACCCGTTTGGAGGGAATCCGGGATCTACCTTCACAAAATCGCCTTTTATGACAGGCAAGGGAACCTCAGTCCTATTCTATGAGCCCGGGACTACAGGACTTTCTGCAAGGCCGCCAGACGGTGACGAAAGATCTTCGGTACTACTATAAAGTGATACATAGAAAATAGTCAATGCAGTAGCTATTTTGCTCTGCTCCGTTCCAATTATAGCTCCGTGTATATCCATCGATACAAATAAGTGTAACACGGCACAAAACACGTGGAACACCGGTGAAACAGTCTCATTCCGCAAGCGAGTATCATAAACGTTTCGTCGGCGCAATTTTTATCCCATCACCTCGACACACGGAAATGAGGCGTTTTAAATTCTCACCGATCGCCAAACCACGAAAAGCAGGAATCAACGCACCTCGTACATTCCACGGGGGGCTATGTAGGCGTAACAAAGCGATATATTAGACGCACAGAACTCCACGCCGGAGCGATACATTAGAAACGCGTCGGGCAACTCGAAACACATCGATTTCCATGTAAATCTCTTTACATCTCGATGGGCTATCGCCGTTGAACCATAAAGATGTGTTGCCGAACTGAATTACTTCTTGAGTGAAAAATCGCCTGACCGCTCCGCGACTCTGTACAACTAGTTTTGAATTCGTTCCGACCATCGATTTCGTTACGATCGTTTCGTTACGAATCTACATTTTGGAACATCACGTTCCAAAATGTAGATTATAAAAACGACAACGCGATAAATGGGTTTGTCGATTGCGATCTCTAATGTAAGATTTCAAAAAGTCGACACATCTGTCACTGTTATATGAGACTGTCACATAACAGTGCTTTCTGATTTACCGAAATAACCTATAGTTCTAAAAAAACTCTGATATCCGACCTAAGATCACCAGTAGATGTCACCAGCAAATTTACGAGGACAGTTGTTATAAAATAAACCATTCAACTTTAAATATTTATTTGTTTATTATACATTTATCGCGTGTTGGACAATGCCCTGTCAGAGGAGGCCTTTGTCCAACAGTGGGACATGTATAGGCTACTACTTTACTTTTTTTTACTTCACACTTATAACTACCATTACAAACTAAACCAATGCGATAGTGCAGCAAAACATTATAAATCAATTAAAAAAAATAGTATGGCTTATAACTAAATTTTTTTGTTACTGTAGAATACGTTATTTATTAATCTAATATATAAAATTATCGTGTCACGGTGTTTGTATATTAGAACTTCTCCGAAACGGCTCGACCGATTTTCGTGAAATTTTGTGTGCGTATCGGCCAGGTTGGTGAATCGTACAGCATATATTTTTCATCCCCCTAAATGTTAAGGGTGGTCCACCCCTAAATATTTTTTCTACCCTGCAATTAATTTATATGGCAAAATCTGTGGGTTACCCAAATAGTTGTCCCATGAGGGAATCGAACCGACGACCCCCGGAGCCGAAGCAATCACCTTGGCAACTGCACCACTATTTGTTCACCTCCAGTTGGCTGCAGCTCTCATGGACCCGGTTGAGATTTTAAACGGACAGTGCGTTAACCAAGATTTAGTTACGATACCTAGCCCTCAGCTCTAGAAAAGCCGCTGAACTTCAATTTCTAGTCTAGAAAATCTGGTTTAGAAATTTCAGCATAGAAGCTATACCGATTTCAAACCATCATTTTTCCACGTTAGAAAAAATTGATTTAATTTGCTAGCGAAAAACTGTCATATACGTGGCCAATAGCTATAATAAGTTTATATACACAGCGTGTCGCCACTAACGCGACCATAAATCAATACACATATAGAGGATAACTTATTAAAATTGTATTAAACAGTTACATTCTTTAAACATTAATATTTACAGAGTTATTACATTTTGCAAAACAAACCATTTTAGAACACCCTTACGTATAAAATTGTAACTTAAAGTTCATTTGTAAAGGTCACAAAGCATATGAAATAGTTGAATCAATTTGAAAGAGATAAAACATACTGTTAGAATGAGAGGTTTGTAATGCAACGCCGCGGCAACGAATGAAAAATGTCTGAATGTATGAATCAGTCAGTTGTAGTTGTATAGGATGTTACAAAATCTTTTTACAAAAATTTTGGATCTTTTTTATTTAATTAGTTTGTTTGAAAAATGTTTTTCTTTTAATTATGGATTCTTTTATGATTATTGGCAAGTAGCGTTAGACGTGTGTTCATTTATTGTCGCGGTTGTAACGACACGCTGTATATGAATATTCTATTTTTTTTTTTTTTCAAATTTTTAATTAATAAAAGGCGTAGCGCTTATTTAACTCAGTCTTCGGTTGTTATGAATCGTTTGAAGGATCATCATAACAAAGATCCTCTCGGAAAAGATGAAGTTTTAAGGCCAATTAATACTTTTTAGTGATTCCACGCATAAGAGACAACAAGCAATACAAAATTTCTCATTAAAATTGTAATACATTATGTATAAACTTACCGGTCGTTCTGAAAAAGCGAGCGATACGTATTGTAATTAACTTGACATAGTGTATTTTATTTATTTATTTATTTATTTATTTGATACACCAACAAAATGGACACTGAAAAAATTTAAGTATACACTAATTATATGGAAAAACATGTTAAGTGCCACCTCAATTATAGGTGTATACGACATTTCAATTAAATGTATTAAGTTTTGATAAATATAAGTATATTAAATATATTAAGTTTTGATAACCTAAAACATTTCACTTTTACCTTTTTATTTTGTTATACAAAGAAAAAATATAACTTATCAAATAAAGCCGTGTTCGTATCATAAAAGTAAAATGCCGCCTCTAAGCTTTCTTGTAGCAATCTTCACGCGTCAACCTTAATTTTGTATCCACTTTTCTCTCTATTATACTAACATTTGTTGGTGTCAGACCCACAATGGACCTGATTGGCCCTACGCCCCACACAGAGCCTTGTGAGGCAGTATACAACCAGTAGAGCTTGACCTGTAGCAATTTCCGAATACGAAGAACTTCTCCAATTTTCCCGTGAATGCGTAGATCACACGATAATGGTTACTCGCGTATTAATATTTATTAAGAGAAAGGTATTCCGTTCGGTTTTGGCCCTTTTCGTTAAAGCTGCTACTCGTGCGGCTCTGTAGTTTCAACTGTTTCTTTTTAGGGTTCCGTACCCAAAGGGTAAAACGGGACCCTATTACTAGGACTAGGACATGTCTGTCTGTCTGCCACCAGGCTGTATCTAACGAACCGTGATAGTTAGACAGTTGAAATTTTCACAGATCATGTATTTCTGTTGCCACTATAACAAGAAATACTAAAACACAAAATTATATTTCTGGCTCCCATTCAACACAGATGATTTTTTACAGTTTTTTTTATATATAATGGTACGGAACCCTTCGTGCGCGAGTCCGACTCGCACTTGCCGGTATTTTTATTCATCTCCGTAATATATTCCGAAATAGGTAGATGTATTGTTGTCACAAGTGGTTTCTTGAGACAACAAGAGGAGCTTTTCTCAATTGTTTTATGTTCCCTCTTCTCGGTCCCTTACTCGTAACTAAAGATAATAACGTTGGGTGACTTACGGCCGGTTTCTGAAACACTGATCATCGTAGATGTCCTGAGAGAATTGACCAGAATTATCTTCTAATGATCAGAACGATCAATCCAAAGAGTTTAACCATCCTTTTGGCAACTAAAATAAAATTTGAAAAGCCATTTGACGGCTGATTAGTTGACATCTACGATGATCAGTGTTTCAGAAACCGGGCGTTAGTGAGGCTTTTGCGCGTATTCAAAGCAACAGTTGTTTATAAACCTCAACATACTCTTACATATTTCTGCTTAATGTCAATCCTGTTCGTTAACATGACGTGACCCGTTTGCTCTCTTTTATATGTATTTACACCTCCATAGATTGTCACATTAATAATACAGTATATATTATATGATTTATGTATGTTTATACACATATTAGCGACACGCCCCAGCTCCACACGGGTGCAATGTATTATACATATAAACCTTCCTCTTGAATCACTCTATCTTGTAAAAAAAACCGCATCAAGATCCGTTGCGTAGTTTTGAAAATCTAAGCCATCAAAGGGAAAGACAGACAGCGGGATAGCTTTGCTTTATATGCTATGTAGTGATATGTGTGTTTAAACATACAAAAATCATATTATATCAACGTGAACACAACAATACATGTTAACACAAGCGTGCTTAAAAATATAGAATAAACTGAAATACAGATAAATAAATTTTAATATTATCTGTTGCAGAGATCGAAGCGGCGGAGGCGTGCAAATGGCTTCGAGCGGCCGGCTTCCCCCAGTACGCGCAGATGTACGAAGGTAAATAGCCAGATCATCCATCTTCATAGCTCACAGACTCCCACGAATATATACGACGAATACGATACGACACATTTTTACACATCATTTTCTAGTCCCAAACTAAGCAACACTTGTACTATGGGTACTAGAAAACTGATAAACATAATTAAACATACTTTTCTTTTGTATATAAATACATATTATACATTAAACACGCAGACACTGTAAAAACACTATGTTCATCACACAATATTTTTCCAGTAGTTGGGATCGAACCCACACCCTCTGGCGCAATACGCCATTCGGGTCGTCAAAACGAAGAATACTAAATTTTTCATGTAAACACTTTATAGTAAGATCACGCCAACGAATATTACTAACTGTGCTACTAACTACTTAACTGTGATAGGGCCACGTAACAGTTCGCTGTTTTTTTTATGGTAAAAGGAGGCAAACGAGCATGCGAGAGATCACCGCCGCTCATGGATATTTGCAACATCGGTTGAGCCGCAATTGCGTTGCCGGCCTTTCAGGTAGGAATAGGCTCTCTTCTTGAAGGTCCCTAAGTCGTATCGTATCGGTCTGGAAATACCACTGGAGACAACTCGTTCCGCAAAGTAGTTGTGCGTGGTAGACAATTTCGCGACAAACACACAGTGGTGGACCGCCAACCATAAAGGTGTTTTTGATGGTACTTGGCGAGATGAGATGCACGATGGTGAAATTCACCAGCAGGTATCAACCCAAACAATTCCTCAGAGCACTCCCCATGATTTATTCGATAGAAAATGCAAAGGGATGCAACATCCCTTCGCAGGGCCAAAGAATCGAGGCGATCGGACAGGATTTGGTCGTCAACGATTCGAGCAGCTCTTCGTTAGCTCAGCTGTTTCACGAATGTGCAGGTCCGTCCGGGGAAGTACCGCGATCTCATAGAAGACGGGCTTAAAGTGGAAGTGTTATACTTCTGCGTTTCGTCCTATGAGTGAGGTAGCCGGAGCCAACTTTAATTTAATAAAGTGTGCCCCGGCTACCTAACTCGTGGCAACGCTCTGCAACCCTTACGCGTGTTGTACATGTCCGGTTACCATCAGCTGAACCGTCAGCTTGAAGAGTCGGTTGTCATCATTTTAGACCGATTTTAAAAACGGAGGAGTTTTTCTCAATTCGACTGTATTTTTTTAATGTTTGTTACCTCAGAACTTTCGACTGAGTGTACAGATTTTGATGATTCTTTTTTTTTTTTTTATTTCAAAGCCGGGTACTTCCCCTATTAATTTCATTGGTATTGAAACGTGGGCTCCGGAGATACGCAGGGAACTCCTGAAAATCAATTATAAAGTGAATACAGAGCGAAATATGAAGGCGGTTTTGTTTTTCGTTAATAAAAAAAATTACTTGTACATTAAAAAAAAAAAAACTAAACAACAGGCGATTTCGATTCCCACCGCTCCCGGCTAAGTATTAAACAGAAACGGTTAGTTGTAATGAGAGTTTAATTTCGAATCCCCATCTCCGGTGGAACACGACTGAACCTGAGCGACGTGCCGACCTTTTCCGCAACTCTTAGGTTTTCGAAGCCGGTGAAAAAGTTTCAGGAAGTAATAAATAGTTTTGTAGGTTGATTAACTATGGAATTAGGAATTGAAACGTCTGTCTGTTCCGTGACCATGAACGCTGGAAATGGTTCCAAACGTCGGGAATTTAAAACGACATACAATCCAAGAAGAATATAAGTTTTGTTTAACCACGTATAGTATTCGTAGTATGAAACATACTCATTAAATGCAACTCATTATGGTGTCTCAATAATATTGTTAAATGGTCACAATACAATTTGCGGTCGTCAAATTAAGAGAATATTGAGCTGCCAATTAAATTGAGCTGTAAATAAATCGGGTTAGCTCCTTTGTAATTTTTCAAAAGTCCATCTTTTCTGTGACTTTTTTTATTCAAAACTGGCCAGCACTTTACTGCTATCCCAACTGACGGTATGTGGCGTAACAGCCGTTGATGGTAATCGCGCTAGCTCAGTCAAAACCTATTCACTCTTGCCTTGAGACTACGTTGTAATCGGAAAAAATATTTCACTGATATTAGCTTCATTATAAACATTAATCAGTCGACCTAAAGGCCCGTCCAGCCGCCACCATTATTTATAACTATGTAGGCGGCGTACTCACCTGCCCTCCCTGTGCAAGAGAGTTTGCCGCCAAAATTGGCTATATTAGCCATTTTCGTGCACATCAGCACCAAATCAACTAGAAGTCGAAGAGGTCGCCATGACTGAAATCGGTAGGAATAATCATCAAAAGTCAAACGAATGACATTATAATAAGTGTTGCCTATAGTGTACATAAAATTGAAGGTAATTTCACACCTCGTGCATCTAAACATATCCGTTATACAAGTTTACTCTTTCTACAACTGGCCCGGACAAGGCCGAAACATGAAGCAGCAGACCTGACCTGTCCCACGGAACTATTAATCAAGCTTATAGTCGGTACAGTGTGTCCCACATACACGGTATGTTTACAATTCCAAGCCGCTGTTGTTACGTGTGGCGTTAGTGACACCATTTGTGTCTTCGAGTATACGAGAACTTCGTATATCTAGAAGTTCTTGTGTATAGCGTCATTATAGTATAAAACAAAGTCGTCCCGCTGTCTGTCTGTCCCTATATATGCTTGGATCTTTAGAACTACGTAACGGATTATAATGCAGTTTTCTTTAATAGATAGAGTGATTCAAGGGGAAGGTTTATATGCATAATTCATGCATAATATAGTAGAGAAACATTAATCATTTTAGAGGATGTCGAAAACAAACATTCATCATTCCACACGTGCGAAGCCGGGGCGGGCCGCTATTTAACGATAAGTTAATTGAAATACTTCTTAAGTTAATTAAAATAAAACATTATGGGATTTCATTTATTTATTTGAATCGAAGCGTTAGTTTATTTTTATTACAATACTGCTGCATTACATTAATTAAAACTTAAATCGAAACTTGTTCCTCCTTTCGTGTCTTGTCCGGGCACCAACTCTACAATAAAAGCATCGGAAAGGCACTGCCAATTTAAATTAAAAGTGTAATTTTAAATAGCTTTAAAAATGTAACATGAACAAAACAACGTTACAAAATTATAGATAAAATTATTATTAAATACAAATCGTTAACTGAATTTCAAATATCTATCATACGTTTTTATGCGTTTGCCAAGATATCTGCAAGATGAGGAATACGTATATCACATACGTATTCCTCATCTTGATATATCATATGAAAAATTACAATTAGAAATATTACTTAGAAATTTTGATGCTTGCTGTATAATTTTGTTTTAACCAAGATCAGCTGCAAAAATGCAACCAAATCCTCTTCAATTTACCGGCTGTTCTTGTGTATACCGCGTAACCTTAATGTGGACTTGCCCCTTTATTTAATAGCAGATATAAAATAAATATTTTGCAGTTGTGATGACTATGATGATTTAAAAAGTATATTCGTTCGTACATTATTATTATTGTGAGAACTCACACAACGATCCCTTTTTCTCTTGCTTTAAAACACCACACACCATACTTTGTCTAAGTTTATTAATGTTGCAATTATTAAATTTTCGTAAAAAACGTCTGCCGAAGACGTGGGTTCGATTCCCACAGCGGTGACAATCTTTTCGTACTTTTACTGCAAATTTAATGTTCAATCTTAAGAGCAGAGATTAGACTTTCCCTGCCTCCAGAAAAGACCACCACGAGGTCGGCTAAGAGATTTTTATATATCAAATCAACGGAAAAAATCTTAATAATTTGGACAATCTTGATGAATATAATATGTTCTTCTTTCTCCTGCCCTCCTTCCACGTTTGTGGGGTCTGCACAAAATATGAATCATGTTTATTAAATGAAACTAGTTTACGGATTTTATCCAGCAGCATTCATGGTAACGGGATAGACCGTACTGTCCTGTGACCGACATCTGTCGGAAAGGGTTCGAAACGTCAGGAGTTCAAATCAAAATAAAAAACGCGATAAAATCCGTAAACTAGTTTCATTTAATACGTATAATATTCGCGTAAAATCAAGAAAACTACATGAATCATGTTACTATTGGTACTAGCTACATTTTTTACGACATTTATAAACTAAGGTTACTTATGTTAAAAGTTACTACACTCATCACATCGAATACTGCTATTCTCTGCAGGCTCTCTTTCTCGCGGCAAAAATGCTTTAGAAAGTTGTTACTTTGCTTTATTTTTTCAATACAAAATAAATGGAAACAACGATTCGCTTTGCGTTTAAGGTATATCCACACTATACATCACCCTTCGATGACAATATAAACTAAATTATCCTTTAACAGGGCGAAAGGACTGGAGACGGGCAGTCGTTCTTTCTTATTTGTGACATACGCATTCCATTATTCAACCCCATTTGGAATTCGAATTTGTTGTCCCTATTCAATCTTCGGGACGGTAAAAGTTTTACATCTCTTATATTTTACATTTTTTTATTTTCAATCGTTGTATCAGATTGAATAAAATCAATGAAAACTGATTGAAATTCGGTTGTAATTGAACAAATTCCTCTGATATTTTTGATGTGAAAACATCTAGGCACGTTTGGCTATTTTTTATTTTTTTAAGTTGTCCGAGAGTATTTTTGCCGCGTTTGTGTAGGTAAAATTCTATAACATTAGATTTATTGATTAACATTAGTGTTTATTGCTTTAAATTGTCAAAAATAAATTAGGTTTTTAGGTTATTTTTAGGTTATTTTAAAAACACGTGCCATATAATGAGGAACGGTGTCGAATTGTAAACAGAAAAACTTGTCGAAATCGGTTAGCCGGAAGCCATCAGCGAGCTTTTCACAAATTGCAATTTGCGCACGGGCACTCGCTTAAACAAACGAGCTGCCTACATTCCTTTTACTAGTTTGTTTTTAACCACGTCACAAACATACCCGTCGACCGGAATCCCAGCGCGGGCAAACATTTTAGCGGCGGCA